AATTAGGAGGCAAAGAGGTACTACGGAATTGAATGATAAAGAAACACAAAACAAAGTATGTATTTTATAAGTATTTACCATGCACAGTAATAAAAAAGAAAAGCTAGGAATAAGGCCTTTAAGAAATAAAAGGATAGTTCCACAGATAACAATACAGTGATAGCAGAAATATTAAAGAATTAATTTAACATGAGCTGTATTGAGTCGCTGAGCAGGCATGATGGGACAAATGGCCTACTTCTGCTATTTTTGTATACTAGTGTTCATATTCTACTTCAGTATATAACATGGAGATAGAACATGTTGACATTGCCACTGAACAATAAGGTGAGAGATTAAATAAGTGCATTTAAAATTTCAAAAAGGCAATGTATTGAACAAACTAATCAAATCAAAAGAGGATAAAATCCCTGGATCGGATGGACGTAGCCACAAATTTTAAAAGAATCTGGAGAAACAAAGGTATAACTACATATATTTAATAATTTGTTATAAAAATTTATAGTGTCAGAATACTGGAAGATAAATGATGTAATTCCTATTTTAAGAAGAGGTCAGAAAATATCCAGAGAATTATAGATCAGTCTTAAAATCAGTGGCAGGGAAAATGTAGAATCCCTATTAATGGAGGGAAATAGAAGAACATCTAGAAATGAAAGAAATATATAATTATGAATTGCCAGTATGGATTTCAAAATGGGAAATCTTTCTCGACCAAACATATTGAAATTTATGCGGAGGTAACAAAGTGAGCAGACAATGCAGTGATAGTAAGAACTGCCGATGCTGGAGTCAGAGATAACACAGTGTGGAGCTGGAGGAGCACAGCAAGCCAGGCAGGATCGGAGGAACAGGAAAGTTTCGGGTCGCAACCCTTCTTCAAAAATGGGAAGAGGGAAAGGGAGGTCCAAAATAAATAGTGAGAGGAGGGGTGGGGCTGGGGAAGGTAGGTGGGATGGTGATAGGTCAGTGCAGGTAGGGAGTGTTGGGGCTTGGCCAGTGGGATGGGAGGGGCGAATAGGTGGGAGAGAAGGTGGACAGGTTGTGTCAGGTCAAGGAGGCAGGGATGAGAGGGAGGGTTGGTCATAGGATGAGGCCGGGAGACTTTACCAGTTTCAAAATCTCTCCGCCCCTGGTCTCATCCCACGACCAACCCTCCCTCTGATCCCCACCCCCTTGACCTGACACAACCTGTCCACCTTCTCTCCCGCCTATCCGTTCCTCCCACCTCACTGGCCAATCCCCACTGCTGCCTACTTACACTCACCTATCACCATCCCACCTACCTTTCCCAGCCCTACCCCTCCTCTCTCTATTTCGGAGCTCCGTTCCCCTTCCCCATTTTTGAAGAGGGATCCCAACCCGACCTGAAACATCAACTTTCCTGCTCCTCTGATGCTGCCTAGACAATGCATTAATATAACTTTGGATTCCCAAAAGACATTTAATAAGGTGCCAGTAATGAATAAGCTCAAAGAATGTAGAGTCAGAGTATAAGTGGATAAAGGGATTGATTTATAATTTGGAATAAACAAATTCACTTTCTAAATTTAAAGATGATGCCAAACTGGAGGTTTGTCAATATTGAGGAAGGCTGCCATAAATTGCAGGAAGCCATAAATAAATGTAAAGAATGGGCAAATAATTGGCAAATTGACACAAGTAGGTGTGAGGTAATAGATTTTGATTGAAAGAATAGAGATGTCAATTTTTACATGGAAAGTGTAAATTTCGATCGGGTAGAGAAACAGAGATTACAGATTATAGATACACCAATCACTGGAAGTTGCATCACAGATTAGCAAGGCCATTATAAATAAACTAACCAAATACCAGGCATTATTTCAAGAGGGATAGAATTGAATCATAGAGAAATTAGACTGAACCTATCTAGAATAAAAGAAAGATACTGCAAATGCTAGACATTTGAAACAAATGAGAAAATGCTTGAGAAATTCAGTAGGTCTGATACATCTGTAGGGAGATCGCTCTGAGGATGCTCTCAGACCTGCTGAGTTTCTCCAGCATTTTCTATTTGTTTAAGCTATATAGAACCTTATTTAGATGGCACTTGAGAGTACTTTGTGTATTCCTGGTTGCTATAGTATAAGAAATGATTTTGAAGCATTGGAAAGGGTACATAGAAGCTTCATGACAATGTTACCAGAAATATATGCACATGACATTAGGAATGGATTGACAGGCTGTGTTTCTTTTGTTTTATAGAAAGAAGCCTGAAGGGTGACATAACAGAGGTATTAAAATTATGAAGGGTTTTAACTGATTGGCAAAAGATAAAGTATTTCTTCTTGCAAGGAAAAACATAACCAGGGACTATCAATATAAGACAGTCATCAAGTGTCCAATGGGGAATTCAGAAGAAAGTTCTTTACCCAATGAATAGTGAGAATGTGGAACTTGCTAATTCAATAACTATTAGAAGCAAATAGTACGAGTGAGAAGAAAGACAGTTTGAAGAAGGAGAGAATCAAATCCAAGTGGAGGGTGTCTGTATCTGAAGATAATGGAGTTGTGTGTATGGGCTAGATTTTTCAATCATAACTGAATGGATGGAAAATCTAGTACTCTGATCTAACCCTCCATCATAGAATGAGAAGCCCACTACCTAATGGTGAGATATCTTCATTTATCCTCACTCATTTACACACGGGGTAACTCTCAGTGTTGAGACTTACATGTAGATGCTATTTGTGAAACAGAATAGAATTAAAAACAGAATTTGTAAGTAGTATTTGTTTTTAAATAAAGGCAGAACAGTTTAATGATGGTGGATGAATTTTTCCAGACTATTTAGTTGAGTGTTTGAGATTATTGTTTGTCTTATTCTACCCTTTTGACACAGGAGTCCTCTATCAATTTAGCGTAGATATCATTTGCAATGTGAAATATCATTGTTTTGGAGGCAAGTGACCAAAGACTTAAACCGATAATACAGTTCCCTTAGTACTACTACAAGTTTGATTTTGGGATTGGATTTTAAAGCACCTCTAATTGGTGCTGAGATTTTTGACCATTCCATAATGAACTCCTGCACAAAGATACGAAAGACCACAATTCTAGCTTATGCCAGCAAGTGTGGCAAGTAGTAAATATTTGGTTGTCTCACATGAGGCTTGATGAAGTATAACAAAAATATTTTCTACTTGAAATTGTATATTTAAAGCAAAGACTTGTGAAATGCCAAGAATATTTTGATAACTGACTAGTAGCTTCTGGGAGACCAGTCTGATTCTTTTAATAGCTGAGTTATCAGTTGAACTTCTACTAGAGTGAGATTTCAAAATTCAAGTACTTTGTATGGCAGCAAGCTTATTACTCAACCGTAGGAGCATCAGTTGAAAAGATACAATTCTTTGTGGACAAACATTGGTGATTCTGAATCAATTCTTAGAACTAAGCCTTCTGCTCAAGTTTGTTCCAACAGGGAATCAAATGCATTTTGACTACAACCAGGATTCAGCAATCCTCAATTTTAATGGTCTCAAAATCATGAGATGCACTGTTTAAAAACACTGGGATTTGTGCTTGTGGACAACCTGCACTACAAAATGAAGTTTACCAGCAATAACAGCAGCAGTTTAAATTTGCCAAACTGCTGGAAGTGAAGAAGTACCAATTTGTGAGAATGCTTGCTTAATAGCAAGTATAGAAGTTTGTACTATATTTTTCTATTCATTTGTGGGATGTGGGCATTGCTGACTGGCCAGCATTTATTGCCCATCCCTACTTTGAGAACATGGTGGTGAGCTGCCTTCTTGAACCACTGCAGTCCACCTGCTGTAGGTTGACCCACAATGCCATTAGGGAGGGAATTCCAGGATTTTGACGCATCGACAATGAAGGAAGGGTGATATATTTTCAAGTCAGGATGGTGAGTGGCTTGGAGGGGAACTTGGAGATACTGGTGTTCTCATGTATCTGCTGCCCTTGTCCTCCCAGATGGAAGTGTTCGTGGGTTTGTAAGGTGCTGTCTGAGGATCTTTGGTGAATTTCTGCAGTGCATCTTGTAGATAGTACACACTGCTGCTACTAAGCATCGGTGATGGAGGGAGTGAATGTTTATGAATGTAGTGCCAATCAAGTGGGCTGCTTTGTCCTGGATGGTGTCAAGCTTCTTGAGTGTTGTTGGGGCTGCACTCATCCAGACAAGTGGGGAGTATTCCATCACACTCCTGACTTGTGCCTTTTAGATGGTGGACAGGCTTCCAGGAGTCAGGAGGTGAGTTACTCACCGCAGTATTCCTAGCCTCTGGCTCGCTCTTGTAGCCAGAGTGAGTCCAGTTGCATTTCTGAACAATGATAACCCCCAGGATGTTGATAGTGGGGGACTCAGTGATGGTAACACCACTGAATGTCAAAGGGTGATTTTCATAGAAACCCTACAGTGTGGAAACAGGCCCTTCGCCCAACAAGTCCACACCGACCCACAGAGCATCCCACCCAGAACCATCCCTCATAACCCATAACCCACCTAATCTACACATCCTTGAACACTGTGGGCAATTTAGCATGGCCAATCCACCTAGCCTGCACATCTTTGTGATGTGGGAGGAAACCGAAGCACCCGGACGAAACCCATGCAGACACAGGGAGAATGTGCAAACCCCACACAGACAGTCACCCGAGGCTGGAATTGAACCTGGGTCCCTGGCACTGTGAGACAGCAATGCTAACCACTGAGCCACCGTGTGGTTAGATTGTCTCTTATTGGTGATAGTCATACCCTGGCATTTGTGTGGCGCGAATGTCACTTGCCACTTGTCAGCCCATCTAGCTATTGTCCAGATGTTGTTGCATTTGAACATGGGCTGCTTCAGTATCTGAGGAGTCACGAATGGTGCTGAACATTGTGCAATCATTGGCGAACATCCCCACTTCTGATCTTATGATGGAGGGGAAGTCATTGATGAAGCAGCTGAAGATGGTTGGGCTGAGGACGCTACCCTAAGGAACTCCTGCAGATATGTCCTGGAGCTGAGATGACTGATCTCCAACAATCAGATCCATCTATCTATGTATCAGGTATGACTCCAATCACAGGAGAGTTTGCCGCCTGATACCCATTGATTCCAGTTTTCCCAGGGCTCCTTGATGCCACACTCGGTCGAATGCAGCCTTGATATCAATGGCTGTCACTCTCACCTCACCTCTGCTGCTTGATAGCGCTGTTAATGTCACCTTCCATCACTTTACTGATGATTGAGAGTAGACTGATAGGGTGGTTATTGGCCAAGTTGGATGTATCCTGCTTTTTGTGTACAGACATACTTGGATAATTTTCTACACTGCTGGGTAGATACCAGTGTTGTAACTGGACAGGAACAGCTTGGCTAGGGGAGCGGCAAGTTCTGAAGCACAAGTCTTCAGTACTATTGCCAGAATGTTGTCAGGGCCCGTAGCCTTTGCAGTATCCAGTGTCTCCAACAGTTTCTTGATATCACGTGGAGTGAATCAAATTGGCTGAAGACTGGCATCTGCAATGCTGGAGACCACTGGAGGAGGCCGAAATGGATCATCCATTCAACACTTCTGGCTGAAGATTGCTGCGAATGCTTCAGCCTGATCTTTTGAACTGATGTGCTGGGCTTTTCCATCGTTGTGGACGGGGATATTTGTGGATCCTCCTCCTCCAGTGAGTTGTTTAATTGTCCACCACCATTCATGACTGGATGTAGCAGGACTGCTGAGGTTAGATCTGATCGGTTGGTTGTAGAATCGTTTAGCTCCGTCTATCACTTGCTGCTTTCATTGTTTGGCATGGAAGTAGTCCTGTTTGGTAGTTTTACCAGGTTGATATCTTCAGGTATGCCTGGTATTGCTCCTGGTATGCCCTCCTGCACTCTCCATTGAACCAGGGTTGATCTCCTGGCTTGATGGTAATGGTTGAGTGGGGGATATGCCGGGCCATGAGGTTACAGATTGTGCTGGAGTACAATTCTGCTGCTGTTAATGGCCCACAGCGCCTCATGGATATTCAGTCATGAGTTGCTAGATCTGTGTGATAGTGCCACACAACACAATGGAGGTTATTCTCAATGTGAAGGTGGGAATTCGTCTCCACAAGGACTGAGTGATGGTCACTCTTACTGAAACTGTCGTGGACAGATACAATTGCAGCTGGCAGATTGGTAAGGATGAGGTCAAGTATGTTTTTCCCTCTTGTTGGTTCCCTCACCACCTGCTGCAGACCCAGTCTAGCAGCTATGTCCTTTAGGACCCGACCAGCTCAATCAGTAGCACTGCTGCCGAGCCACTCTTAGTGGTGGACATTGAAATCCCCCACCCAGAGTACATTTTGTGCCCTTGCCATCCTCAATTATTCCGCTAAGTGTTCAACATTGAGGAGTACTGATTCATCAGCTGAGGGAGAACGGTGTGTGGTAATTAGCAGGAGATTTCTTTGCCCATGTTTAATCTGAAGCAATGAGACTTCATGGGGTCCGGAGTCAATGTTGAGGACTCCCAGGGCAACTCCCTCTTGACTGTATACCACTGTGCCGCCCCCTCTGCTGGGTCTGTCCTGCCAGTGGGACAGGATATATCCAGGGATGGTGAGGGTGGTATATGGGACATTGTTAGCAAGGTATGATTCTGTGAGTATGACTGTGTCAGGCTGTCGCTTAACTAGTCTGAGACAGCTCTCCCAATTTTGGCAGTAACCCCCATATGTTAGTGAGGAGGACTTTGCAGGGTCAACAGGGCTGATTCTGCTGTTGTCTTTTCCGGTGCCTAGATCGATGCCAGGTGATCCATCCAGTTTCATTTCTTTGAGACTTTGTAGCGATTTGGTACAACTGAGTGGCTTGCTAGGCCATTTCAGAGGGCAATTGAGAGTCAACCACATTGCTGTGGGTCTGGAGTCACATACAGGCCAGACCAGGTGAAGGTGGCAGATTTCCTTCCCTGAAGGACATTAGTGAACCAGATAGGTTGTTCCAACAATCAGCAATGATTTCATGGTGATCAGTAGATTCTTAATTCCATTCTGCCATGGTGGGATCTGGGGTCCCCAGAACATTAGTTGGGTTTCTGGATTAATTGTCTAGCGATAATACCATTAGGCCATCACGAACCCCATTGAAAACAGCGGAAGAAAAGGACAGATAATTTAAATAATTTAAAAATTGTCAATACCTTGCGTGTTTCATAAAAAGACAAGCCAGAGATACATGGTATTTCGTTTTGCAGGATCTGTTATCTTATTCATTATATGCAAAGAAAGAAATTTTGAAGATAACTGGCAGTTCTATCGAAGATTTTCCCACACATCCTAGGCCAAGACAAAACATAACAACGAACTAAGGAATAAAGCAACACTACAAAGACAAATTATGCCACAAATTATCACAAAAACAGAAACTGCTAGAGAAATTCAGCAGGTCTGGAAGGATCAATGGAGAGAAAACACAGTTAACATTTTGAGTCCAGTGACCCTTCTGCAGAAACTGGACTTGAAATATTTACTCGCTTAAATTTTAAATCCTTTGGCAACTATACCTCCTGACTCTGATTGGCCAGGTGCTAAGAGCAGTTGTGTGCACATCTACCAAAGCACGTGATCTCTCCCAGCATTGGCCTCATTGGTGTGCACTCCTCATCCATAATGAAGTGAAATTCACCATAGAACCAGCAGGCTTCTCATCAGAGAAAGAGACAACTGGTGGGATGTTTAACAGAGGGTTGCGACACCCTAGGCAGGTTTGAGAAGGCAAGCCGTTATGCTGATGTCAGCCAGTCTGGGAATTGTACCCTCATTATTGGCATCACTCTGTTTCACAAACCAGCTGTCCAGTCAACTGAGCTAACCACCCTGTCTGGCACATCCTGTCCACTATTAGCCTACTCCCTATGGAACGCCAAACCCTCTACTGACCCCTTGCTGTGCCACCCACCTGTCTCCAGCTATGATCTACTATGTTTGCTCTCCCAATTGTTTTTACTTGTACTGCTGTACAAGCAACATGTGCACAACATGTCAATTGGTTAGTATTTCTTCTAAGCAACACAAAATTCATCATTTCTCCCATCCATAAATTGGGTACCTAGCCCCAGTTAATGATTACAGAATGAATGGAATCAGCCTTTCAGGCAGTGGTGATATCTATAGATAATCGGATTAAAGCCACATGCTAATAGTTAGACTACATCATCAGTGATATCAAATGATATCAAATCACATGGAACTGGGACCTCCATGAAAATGATTCCGGTAAAGTTCCACTCTAACATCTCTCTGTGCCTAGAGTAAATTATAATTAAATGTTCATCGGCTTGCACCAGTAGAGTGCCCAGTACTGGTCTGTCTAAAGCATCTGGACACTGGTTGCGGTACTAATACATGGTTGACAGCATTGGACTATCATCCGAGCATTTTACAAGGGTTCCCAGCCAATGTTAACAAAGACTGGGAAAGTGAAAAGTCTTTGGCTGTGAGCACACACTCAAGAAAACAACCATGACTGTAATCAGAGCATCTCACTATTAGTAGAGGTTAACTAGAGCCAGCAAGAACCATACAGAACCACTGAATAAAATTCCCTCATACTGCGGATAGTGAGGAGGATTACCAGAGGATACAGCAGTACATAGATAGGTCAGAGATTTGGATGGAGAAATGGCAGATGTAGTATAACCTGAACAAACGCAAGGTGATGTGTTTTGGAAGATCTAATGTAGGAGGGAAGTATACAGTAAATTTGCAGAACCCTTAGTAGCATCAATATACAGAAACACCTAGGTGTACTGGTCCACAGTTCCCTGAAAGTGGCAACACAAAGGGATAAGGTGGCCAAGAAGAGATACAGCACACTTGCCTTCATCGGCCTGGGCATAGAGTATAAAAATTGGCTAATCATCTTGCAGCTGTACAAAACTTTAGTTTGGCCATATTTGGAATATAGTGTACAGTTCTGGTTGCCACACTACCAGAAAGATGTGGAGGCTTTGGAGAGGGTACAGAAATGGTTTACCAGGATGTTGCCTGATTTGAAAGGTATTAGTTATGAGGAGAGATTGGACAAACCTGGTTTGTTTTCACTTTAACATCGAAGGATGAGGGGAAACCCGAAAGAAGTTTACAAAATTATAGGGGGCATGGATAAAATGGATAGTTGGAGTCTTTTTCCCAGGATAGAAATATCAATTACTAGGGGACATAGATAAAAGTGGGTGTGAGAGGCAAGATTTTAAATAGAGGAAAGTAAGTGCCTAGAATGCACTGCCAGAAGAGGTAGTGAAGGCAGATACAACAGCAACGTTTAAGAGATATCTTGACAGATATATGAATAGGTGGGGAATAGAGAGGTATGGACTGCATAGAAGGAAAAGGTTTATAGTCTAGAAAGGTATCATCTTGGTGACCAAAAGCCCTGTTCCTGTGTGTAGTGATTTTGAACCATTTGAGTATGTAGAGGGGCCCAAGCAAGCTGGTTCAACAAAGTAATGGACTGCCTCCAGCCTCAATGAGAAGACAAATAAGGATCAGGTTAGTGTATTGTAACTGCAATCTGCAATAATGCCATTGCCATTCTGATTAGCCAAGGAATCAAAGAAAGAATTGCAAAATATGACAATGTTGTTTGAGGCCTCTGATGCTTGTTTTCGTTTACTGTACAACCTTTACATAGGCAGGATAAGGTTCAGATGCACAGCCAGGAGCCAGGGAAGACTATTCATAGTATTAACAATCTATATCCCTTCTCTGATAAATGCCAATATGGAACATTGAGAGTTGACGTCATATGGGAACACATCATCATGGATGAAGTTTTAGCAGAATTCCTGAAATGGGAGGATCTTTTACAAAGGGAAATACAATGCTGGCCCGAGGCTATGGAAGACCATCTCCAGGACTGCTTGGACTCGGTGGACTGGACCATGTTCAAGTGTTCAGAGGAAAACCTAGACGAGTACACCACCACCGTCATAGACTTCATTAGCAAATGCATGGAAGACTGTGTACCAAAGAAGTCAATCTGAGTGTTCACAAACCGTAAACCTCAGATAAACCAGGAAATCCACTCCCTACTGAAGACCAAACGTGCAGCATTCATTTGGATGACCCAGACCAATACAGGAAATCCAGATATGAGCTCCGCAAAGCCATCAGGGATGCCAAGAAGCAGTACCGGATCAAGTTAGAGGCCCAGACCCACCAAACAGACTCCCGCTATCTATGGCAAAGCCTAAACAACATTACAGGATACAAAATGAAGCAGTGTAAGACAGCGGACAAAGACACATCCTTCCTTAACGCGCTCAATGCTTTCTATGCTCGGTTTGAGCAGAATACCAGCAGCACAGTGACATCTGCCTCGACAGCCCTAGACACACTGTTCCCTCCTTCCTCACTTCAGAAGTCAGATTGGTCTTCCTGGGAGTCAACCCAAGGAAAGCAATTGGCCTGGACGCTTCCCCAGCCGTGCGCTCAAATCCTGCACAGACCAACTGGCAGAGGTATTCACTGACATCTTCAACCTCTCCCTCCTACAAACCGAAGTCTCCACCTGCTCCAAGAAGACCACCATTATCTCTGTACCTACAATGTGCCTTAATGACTACCGCCCAGTGGATCTGACCTCAATTATCATGAAGTGCTTCGAGAGGCTGGTCATGGCCCACATCAACTCCAGCCTGCCTCTATCCCCTACAATTTTCCCCATAACAGGTCCACAGCAGATGCTATATCCCTTGCCTTGCACTCATCCCTGGAACATCTGGACAACAAAGACACCTACGTCAGATTCCTGCTCATTGACGACAGCTCCATCTTCAACACCATTATCCCCTCCAGACTGACATCAAAACTGCGTGACCTTGGTCTCAGCTCCGCCCTCTGCAACTGGATCCTCAGCTTTCTGACCCACAGACCGCAATCAGTGAGGATAGGTAACTGCACCTCCTCCACAATAACACTCAATACTGGAGCCCACCCAAGAGTATGTCCTCAGCTTCCTACTGTGTTGCCTGTACACCCACAACTGTGTTGCCAAATTCCGAATGAATACCATCTACAAGTTCGCTGATGACACCACCGTAGTGGGACGGATATCTAACAACAATGAGTCAAAATACAGAAGGGAGATAGAGGACTTGGTGACATGTTGCAATGAAAACAATCTCTCTCTCAACGTTGGCAAAACTAAAGAACTGATCATTGACTTCAGAAAGAAAGGAGGACATCACACCCCCATCTACATCAATGGAACTGAGGTTGAGAGGTGGAGAGCGACAAGTTCCTCGGAGTGACAATAACCGACAACCTGTCCCGGACTTCCCACATAAATGCAACAATCAAGAAGGCATAACAATGCCTCTTCTTCCTCAGGTGGCTCAGGAAATGTGGCATGTTCATAAGGACCCTCACCAATTTCTACAGATGCACCATTGAAAGCATACTGTCTGGGTGCATATGGCCTGGTGTAATGGTCCTGCTCTACCAGGACCGTGAGAAAGTACAGAAGGCGGTGTGCACAGCCCACACCATCACAGAAGCCAACCTTTCGATCCAACGCATCATCCTCCGACACTTCCGCCATCTGCAATCCGACCCCACCACCAAAGACATCTTTCCCTCCCCACCCTTATCTGCTTTCCGGAGGGACAACTCTCTCCGTGACTCCCTTGTCCGCTCCACACTCCCCTCCAGCTCCACCACACCCGGCACTTTTCCCTGCAACTGCAGGAAGTGCTACACCTGCCCCCATACCTCCTCCCTCACCCCCATCCCAGGCCCCAAG